GACACAACATACCAAAATCTCTAGGACACATGTAAAACAGTGTCTAGAGGGAAACTTATAGCACTAAATGCCCGTATGAGAAGTGAAGAAAGATCTAAAATCAATACCCTACCATCATGATTAAAAGAACTAGAGGAGCAAGATCAAATTCAAAAGCTAGCAGAAAACAAGAAATAACTAAGATCAGAGCAGAACCGAAGGAGATAGAGACACAAAAAACCCTTCAAAAAATCAATAAATCCAGGAGCTGGTTTTTTGAAAAGATCAACAAAATAGATAGACCACTAGCCAGACTAATAAAAAAGAAGGGAGTAAAGAATCGAATAGATGCAATAAAAAACAATAAAGGGGATATCACCACTGATTCCACAGAAATACAAACTACCATCAGAGATTACTACAAATACCTCTATGCACGTAAACCAGTAGATCAAGAAGAAATGGATAAATTCCTGGACACTTACACCCTCCCAAGACTAAATAAGGAATAAGTTGAACCCTTGAATAGACCAATAACAAGGTCTGAAGTTGGGGAAGCAATTAATAGCCTACCAAATCAAAAAAAGTCCAGGACCAGATGGGTTCACAGCCGAATTCCACCAGAGGTACAAAGATGAGCTGGTACCATACCATTCCTTCTGAAACTATTCCAAACAATACAAAAGGAGGGAATCCTCCCTAAATCATTTTATGAGACCAACATCATCCGGATACCAAAACCTAGCAGAGACACAACTAAAAAAAAAATTTCAGGCCAATATTGGTGATGGATGAACATTGATGCAAAAATCTTCGATAAAATACTAGCAAACCGAGTCCAACGGCACATCAAAAAGCTTATCTATCATGATCAGGTTGGCTTCATCCCTGGGATGTAAGGCTGGTTCAACATATGCAAATTTATAAACATAATCCATCACATAAACAGAACCAAAGACAAAACACATGATTATCTCAATAGATGCGGAGAAGGCCTTCGACAAAATTCAACAGGACTTTTTGCTAAAAACTCAATAGGCTGGGCACAGTGGCTCATACCTATAATCCCAGAACTTTGGGAGGCTAAGGCAGGTAGCAACATGGCAGACTGGGGCAGGAGAATCACTTGAACCCAGGAGGCGGAGGTTGCAGTGAGTTGAAATCGCTCCATTGCACTCCAGCCTGGGCAACAGAGCAAGACTGAGGCTCAAAAAAAAAAAAAAAACCTCTCAATAAACTAGGCACTATCGATGGAACATGCCTCAAAATAATAAAAGCTATTTAGAACAAGCCCACAGCCAATATCATACTGAATGGGCAAAAGCTGGAAGCATTCCCTTTGAAAACTGGCACAAGACAAGGATGCCCCCTCTCACCACTCGTATTCAACATAGTATTGGAAGTTCTGGCCAGAGCAGTCAGGCAAGAAAAAGAAATAAAGAGCATTCGATGTGGAAAAGAGGAAGCAAATTGTCTCTATTTGCAGATGACATGATTGTATGTTTAGAAGACCCCATCACCTCAGCCCAGAATCTCCTTAAGCTGATAAGCAACTTCAGCAAAGTCTCAGGATACAAAATCAGTTAGAATGGCAATCATTAAAAAATCAGGAGACAACAGATGCTGGAGAGGATGTGGAGAAATAGGAGCTTTTACACCAACTTTTACACTGTTGGTGGGAGTGTAAATTAGTTCAACCATTGTGGATGACAATGTGGCGATTCCTCAAGGATATAGAACTAGAAAAAGCTTTTGACCCAGCAATCCCATTACTGGGTATATACCAAAGGATTATACAACATTCAATTATAAAGACACATGCACACATAGGTTTACTGTGGCACTGTTTACAATAACAGAGACTTGGAACCAACCCAAATGCCCATCAATGACAGACTGGAGAAAGAAAATGTGGCGCATTTACACCATGGAATACCATGCAGCCTTAAAAAAGGATGAGTTCATGTCCTTTGCAGGGATATGGATGAAGCTGGAAACCATAATTCTCAGCAAACTAACACAAGAGCAGAAAACCAAACACTGCATGTTGTAACTCATAAGTGGATGTTGAACAATGAGAACATATGGACACAGGGAAGGGAACATCACACACTGGGGCCTGTTGGGGGTTGGGGGGAACTAGGAGAGGGACAGCAGGGGGGTAGGGGTATTGGGGAGGGCTAACATTAGAAGAAATACCTAATGTAGATGAGGGGGGGATCTATGCAGCAAACCACCATGGCACGTGTATACCTATGTAACAAACCTGCATGATCTGCATGTGTACCCCAGAACTTAAAGTATAATAAAAAAATTAAAAATTGAGATCTGAGGGGAAAATAGCTCTCTAACTGGGCTTCTGCTTTTAATATAATTTGAAAATAGCTGCAACCCAATCCACCCTCTTGGTGGCCCAGAAATGCCACCTTTTTTGATTGTTTGGTTTTGTTGTTCATAGATTAGTTCGCATATACAATGATTAGAAATACATAACTGGGCTGAGCACAGTGGCTCATGCTGGTAATACAAGCACTTTGTGAGGCTGAGCCCAGGAATTCCAAACCAGCCTGGGCAACATAGGAAGACCCCATTTCTACAAAAACCTTAAAAATTATCCAGGCATTGTGGTGCACACCTGTAGTCCCCAGCTACTCCAGAGGCTAAAGTGAGAGGATCACTTGAGCCTGAGACATCAATGCTACAGTGAGCTGTGATAGCACCACTACGCTCCAGCCTGGGTGGCAGTGCGAAACCCTGTCTCAAAAAAATTGTTTTAATAAAAAAATAAATATGACTGAAAAATGTAATAATGCTGCATAGCTTATATCCATCTCAGTCCCTCTCTTTCTCTTGTGCTTTTTAAAATTGAAGTAAAACTCCATAATATACAATTCGTAATTTTAATCATTTTTAAAATGTACAATTCAGGGATTTTTAGCATATTCACAGTATTGCACAATCATCACCACTATCTAATTTGAGAACATTTTCATCACCCAAAACAGAAACCTCATATCCATTAGCAGTCCTTCCTCATTCCCCTCTGACCCCAGCCCCTGGTAACCGCTAATTTACCTTGTCTCTATGTATTTGTCTACCCTGGGCATGTCATATAAATGGAATCATTCCGTACATGGCCTTTTGTGTCTGTCTTTTTTCCTTTGCATAATGTTTTTAAGGTTCATCTATGTTGAAGCATGTATTAGTGCTTCATTTTTTTATGGTTGAATACTATTCCACTGCATGGATATACCACATTTTATTAATTCAGCAATTGATGGATATTTGGGTTGTTTCTAATTTTTGGCTATTATGAATAGTGCTGCTATGAATGTTCATGCACAATCTTTTGTTTAAATACCTGTTTTCAATTTTGAGGAGCAAATAGAAGTGGAATTGCTGACTCTTATAGTCATTCTAGTTTAAACTTTTTGAGGAATTACCAAATTTTTTTTCTAAAGTTGCTGCATCATTTTCTTATTCCCATCAACAATGTATGAGTGTTCTAATTTCCCCACTTTCCCACTAACATTTAATTTCTGCTTTAAAAAATTTTATTATAGCCATGCTAATGGGTAAAATGTAGCATCTCATTGTTAATATCTTTGTACGGGTAAATAATCCATCATAGAAACCACTGCAGAAGGAAAGACAAAAAAAGCATTCTCGTGTCAGGTCTTAAGTTTTCTTGTTTTGTATATGAGGCCACAAAATTGAGAGAAGTTTTCCCCAAGATGAGCTGCAAGTGAACTTAATGAAATTCTGAACAACAGAGCTATTTTTCACTGCCTCCTATCAGATTCGCCAAAGAGCAACCATGATCAAAGCCAAGACATCTCAATAATGACTTTTGAAATGCAAGCTCCTAGAGGTATAGATAGTTGTCTTCAGTCAGTGACTGGCAGAAGCATCTAAACCATTATATGAGGTTTGGCTAGTAAACTGCTCTTCTCGGATTCTGCGGCAATACCCACTTTCTTTTTTGAACTTAATGAACATTTATTTTTTCTACTTACGTGGCGAGTTTGTAAAGGAAAAATAAATATAACTAAACACTAACTCTACATTCTACTTTAAAGAAGGCAATTTGTTCAGGTAACACAATGGGTTAAAACAGTTTGAGCCTTATGAAACTTCAAATTCCGTCCTAGCACATTTCTCGTTAATAATTTAGTGTCCCTTGCAGACATTCTTATGTCTGTCGTCATTTATTTTAATATTTGATTGCTATCATCAACACACTACAGAAGTTATTCTTTCCTTTTCAAGACAGTTTCAAGAACTAGAACATATACAGTATATGTAAGTGATTACCTGGATAAAGCAATAGGGCATTAGGAATTATATTTATTTGTTTTTAATTTCTGCAGCCATTTCTTCATTCTAGACTGGTACAAATAGCCTCCATGAGGAGTTTAGCTTCTCCTTGCAGTAAAGCTACTGAGGGGAGGGAAACTGAGACTCATAGTACAGCGGGCAGGCGCAGCCTGGTTGAGGAGAAGAAGAAGCCGGAGACGGCAAAGCTGGAAGGAGGCAGAGCACTAAGCTGCTGCGGGTCAGTCTTCCTGTGAACAGGCAAGTTTCAGGTAAAGATTTGCAGGGATCTTACCGAGAAAAGCAGCTTTTTTGAAAAGGAACAAGGGAGTTGCAAGAAATGTGATTCCTCCTTCCACAGGAACAGTTGGAAAGCCATAGAGAGCCTAGGGTAGGAATGATGGGAAGTCCCAGGGGTCGTTTAAAATCCTGATAATCGAACATCCATTCTTTCTTACCATTTTGATTACTAAATGAAGTCAGCGAGCTTCAGGCTTGCCTACATTGATGCATCTTAATGATTTGGGCATGACAACCAGCGCCAGGTCACATACCAAGCTTCGGAGAAAGCTGACATCCTAGCACTTCCTGGAAAAATTCGCATGTCGCCCTGCTACCTGGGATTGGTGACAGGTCTGATCCAGGCAAGGCGCCACTCCCCAAACCCCATCCCCCACCTGGATTTAGAAGAGCTTTTGTCCCCGCCCGCCCAAGACTTTAACTCTCCTCTCCCAGAGCCCGCCAACTCTCCAGGGTACAAAGTACAGCAGGGACGCGGGTGGAGCCCTTCTAAGCGACACAGCCTTATCTTTCTCGAGTGAACACCTAGGTGGATTCCCAATACCGCACCTGGCACGTTCTGGAGGGAGTCTCAAGCTCCTCCAGAGCTCCCTGCCGGGCGTCCTTGTTTCTGCATTCGATATTCCTGTGGGAGACGCGGGGGACTCTGAGCGCCGCAAGCTTTATTAAGAGATTTGCAGTGGTTCACTCGGATCCCTGAACACTCCCAACAGTCTAAGCTGCCTGCGGTGTTACAGCGCAGAAGCCTGTAAAGCAGGGTGGTTGCCCTTCTTCGCGGCTTCGGGTCACTTTCCGCGACTCTGAGAGTAATTGCGTGGGCACCAGTTCTGGGGCCAGGCCCCAAGAAGGGAGTTGGACTGCACGAAGAACATCAGCCTGCTACCAGACTGCACATGCACTTTGCACCGGCCATCTAAGCCTCAGTCTGGAGATTGCGCTCTCCGGGTAAGGAGGAACCAGAGCTTCCCCGGCGGGTCTGAGCTGCAGGGCAAGCGGGGACGGGAACTGGGAGTTTAAGGTTCTGGACTGAGGGACTGGAAAGGAGCTGGGGTCTCCAGAGAAAAGGGCAGCAACGGAGGAAAACTGAGATGAACTCCAGACATCCATATTCATGGGTCCGTTTGAGTCTTTGCTTTCAGTAAGAGAGGAGTGGGATGGGACAGAATCTATACCTTTGGTTCCCGCCCACCCTCCAGTAAGGCCGAGGAACTCCCTTGGTTCCCCTGAGAGAAAGGCAGATGGTGCTGCAAGGGAACCCCGGAAGCAGCCGCTGAAGTTGAGCAGTGTGCAGGACTGGGGAGGGAAAAAAAGGAGGAGGAGGGACAAGCCACCTACGTGCTCTCCTCCCTCTCTTTCTCCACCCCACCCCCGTTTTTCGTAGCTGCTGACGCGCTGGTGGTGCCTATTAATCATTCACCAGCCCAGAGCCCCGCGCCAGTTAATGGCTGTGCCGCGCGGGGCTCCCGCATCCTGGCCTCCCCTCTCCACCGTCGTGTGTGCCCGGGTAACCAGAGCTGCAAACGGCAGTGCCCAGGCAACCGCTGGGCTGTGCGCCCCACTGGCGCCGGTAGGAGCCGCGCTCTCCGCCGCGGTTGCACTCTATCCATAGGCGCTGGGCTGCTGTGGGCTGCAGGCAAACGGTTGCGTGCGGAGGGAGGGTGCCGGCGGCGGGGGCGCGAGGAGAGTGCCCCAGCCCTGGCAGCCCCACTGGCCCCCCTCAGCTGGGATGTTCCCCAATGGCACCGCCTCCTCTCCTTCCTCCTCTCCTAGCCCCAGCCCGGGCAGCTGCGGTGAAGGCGGCGGCAGCAGGGGCCCCGGGGCTGGCGCTGCGGACGGCATGGAGGAGCCAGGGCGAAATGCGTCCCAGAACGGGACTTTGAGCGAGGGCCAGGGCAGCGCCATCCTCATCTCTTTCATCTACTCTGTGGTGTGCCTGGTGGGACTGTGTGGAAACTCTATGGTCATCTACGTGATCCTGCGCTATGCCAAGATGAAGACGGCCACCAACATCTACATCCTAAATCTGGCCATTGCCGATGAGCTGCTCATGCTCAGCGTGCCCTTCCTGGTCACCTCCACGTTGTTGCACCACTGGCCCTTCGGTGCGCTGCTCTGCCGCCTCGTGCTCAGCGTGGACGCGGTCAACATGTTCACTAGCATCTACTGTCTGACTGTGCTTAGCGTGGACCGCTACGTGGCCGTGGTGCATCCCATCAAAGCGGCCCGCTACCGCCGGCCAACCGTAGCCAAGGTAGTGAACTTGGGTGTGTGGGTGCTATCGCTGCTCGTCATCCTGCCCATCGTGGTCTTCTCTCGCACCGCGGCCAACAGCGACGGCACGGTGGCCTGCAACATGCTCATGCCAGAGCCCGCTCAACGCTGGCTAGTGGGCTTCGTGTTGTACACCTTTCTCATGGGCTTCCTGCTGCCCGTTGGGGCTATCTGCCTGTGCTACGTGCTCATCATTGCCAAGATGCGCATGGTGGCCCTCAAGGCCGGCTGGCAGCAGCGCAAGCGCTCGGAGCGCAAGATCACCTTAATGGTGATGATGGTGGTGATGGTGTTTGTCATCTGCTGGATGCCTTTCTACGTGGTGCAGCTGGTCAACGTGTTTGCTGAGCAGGACGACGCCACGGTGAGCCAGCTGTCGGTCATCCTCGGCTATGCCAACAGCTGCGCCAACCCCATCCTCTACGGCTTTCTCTCAGACAACTTCAAGCGCTCTTTCCAACGCATCTTATGCCTCAGCTGGATGGACAACGCTGCAGAGGAGCCAGTCGACTATTATGCCACTGCACTCAAGAGCCGTGCCTACAGCGTGGAAGACTTCCAACCTGAGAACCTGGAGTCCGGCGGCGTCTTCCGTAATGGCACTTGCACGTCCCGGATCACGACACTCTGAGCCAGGGCCACGCAGGGGCCCTGCGCCTGAGAAGAAGGGAAGGCTGGGTGTGAAAGGGAGGGTATCCAGGGCGCCAGGGTGCGGTCTGGATAACGTGGAGCTAGGACACCCGGAGCCTCTGGTGGAGGGACCCAGGAAAGGCGCGCAACAATGGTATAAGTGAGAACTTTGCTTATAAACTGGGAAGACTTTCAGGCTACCTTTTTCTGGATCTCCCACTTTCGGTTCCTTCCTCCACTACGCTTACTCCTCTGACCCTCTATTTTCCCCACCCTGCAACTTCGATCCTTTCTTTCGCACCGTCCAGCCAGTGCACATCACAAACTCATTTACAACTCAGTCTCATCCTTAGCTCCTCATGATGTTATTTGCTTGTTTAAGCTGAGCCACGGATACGGCCACGGGTTTCCCTTGGGGTTAGTCCCTAGCTCTCCTTCAGCCCCGCCTAGCCATGCTGGGCAGCGTCCGGGTTCTGCCTGGTGCCCCTACTGGAGTCTCGGGAATGACCGCGCAGCCCTACCTTAAGGAAAGTCGGACTTGAGAAAGATCTAGGCAGCTGGTCTTTTCTCCTACTCTTGAGTGAAGGCGCACCTTTCCCTGCCCGCCCCTCACCACTCTCACTCCACCCAGAGTGGAGCCAGGTGCTTCGTAAATAGGTCCCGGGCTTTGAACCCCAGGCTTTCTGGAGTCCCCATCCAAGCCCCCCTTTGGAGAAAAAAGGAGCTGAGAACAAGTCGCATGAGGAGTTTTTATTAGTCTGTGGGGTCGGAGTGGGGGCTCCTAATAGGAATCAATATCCTGCTGGGCGTTTTCAAAGACCTACGCTGGGCACTCAGGGGCGTGCCTGTTCTGCTAACAGCGTGGCAGGGAAGTGCAGGGCGCACCTTCCCCTTCCCCAGGTTCGGCTGCGGGGCTGCCTCTTGGCTTGGCTTTCTCTCTCACCCAAGCTTCCGCAGGAGCAGACTTAAAAGTAACTAGAAACGGGGTTTCCTGCTCTGGTGTATCTCAAAAGACCCGGCACCCGGGAAGGGGACCTAGGGCGACGTCTTCAGAGTCCGCCAGTGTTAGCTGTGACGCCGCAACCTGCAGGCTCCAGAGTGCGGCCTGTCTGGCCTCTGAGGCTTGCTGCCTTTCAAGCGGTGCCTAAGAAGTTATTTTCTTGTTTAACATATGTATTTATTAATTTATTTGTGATGTTGGAAAATATGTCTCTGCTTTCCTTTTCTCTGCTTGCCTAGCCCCAGGTCTTTTCTTTGGGACCCTGGGGTGGCCATGGAAGTGGAAGTGGGGGCAAGCTCTCCCCCACTCCCTGGGCTTCTCATAGCTCCTCTTTGCTGGGCCCTTTTGTCTTATCCTTTCTTCCAGCTTTTCTATTTTTGATTGTGTTGAGTGAAATTTGGAGATTTTTCATACTTTTCTTACTATAGTCTCTTCTTTGTCTCATTAGAATAATAAATAAGTGATAATGTGGGTTATCCTCCTCTCCATGCACAATGGAAAGTCCTGAACTCCTGGCGCTCCAGGAGACATATATAGGGGAACATCACCCTATATATGATTTGAGTGTATATATATTAATATATATATGATGTGGGCATATATATACTTGTTTATCTGCTCCACTGTCATAAGTCCATGAGTCTAAGTATAGCCACTAATGGTGACAGGTGTGAGTCTGACTGAACACTTTCAGTTTCAGGAGTTCAAGCAGCACTCAAACCTGGAGCAGAGGAATCTAATTCAGAGGGAGACTTCAATCACTGCTGAAGATGCCCCTGCTTCCTCTAGGTTCCAGCAGAGGTGATTCTTAAATATGATCCAGTTAACATCATCACTTTTTTTGAGGACATTGAGTGGAATAATTTATGTCTGTGTGTAATCTTATCAACTACATTGGAAGCCTGAGCAGGGTGAGGACCAATAATTTTAGTTCTTTGTATTTCCTGCATTGCTTTAGTATGCTGGCTTGTACATCGTAGGCACTAAATACATGTTTGTTGGTTGATTTTTTTAAGCCAGAGTGTTTTACAATGATCTGGAGATACTAAATCTGGGGTTCTCAGGTTCACTCATTGACATGATATACAGTGGTTGAAATCACTATTGAAAAATACGTTTTGTGTATATTTGCTTCAACAACTTTGTGCTTTCCTGAAAGCAGTAAGCAAGAGTTAAGATATCCCTAATGTTTTGTTTAAACTAATGAACAAATATGCTTTGGATCCTAAGTCAGAAAGTTTAGATCTGTCCCTTAATAAAAATATATATTACTACTCCTTTGGAAAATAGATTTTTGATGATTAAGAACTGTGAAATTTACAAATCAAAATCTTAATCATTATCCTTCTAAGAGGATACAAATTTAGTGCTCTTAACCTGTTACCATTGTAATATTAACTAAATAAACAGATGTATTATGCTGTTCCAAGTTGTCTTTGCTATTTGAATTTCACTGTTTCAATGGATTACTTGGAAACAGACACACACACACACACACACACACACACGCTTAGTTGCCTTATGTTTCACTTAGATTTGAAGAAGAAAGTTTTCAGATTACTTTTGGGAATTTTACCAAGTTTGTGGTTATACCCTGAATTATTTTCTTAAAAAGAAAACTCTGCTAGTTCAAAAAAGGAAAGGGGGGGAACAGAGAGAAAGAAGAAAAAGTTTAGCCAGGATGAATAGGAACCAATGCACTCATTTACACTCTGTTGTCAGCAAACTAACTGGATGATATCTTAATCTCTCACAGATTAAATTACTGTCTACTCTCACTTATAACCTCAGACTTTGTTTTGAGAGCTAGGTAACTGCTGATTTACATCATGAGGAAAGATAATGGGAAGAGAAAACTATCTCTTAAAAATGTCCCAGAAGGCAGTGAGTAAAAGAAATAGAAAAATCAGATTTTGACATAAGAGAAGGACTTATTTTCTGCTTTGTTCAGTGATGGCCATATCCACCCCTAGAGAATGTAAGAAATCACTAGGGGAGTTTGTTTGTTTTTAACAGATTTGATCTTTTTAGAGCAGTTTTATTTTCATATCAAAATGAACAAAAAGGAATATTTTCCAAGCAGGTAATAGCAGTGATTCCAGAAGCAGAGTTGGGGATGGAGATTCAATGCTTTCAAATACCCTGTGACTCTGTGCTTTATATGGTTCTATACATCATCACAATAAGATTAGGGATAGCTGGACTTTTGTCATTTTTATTATTTTTTTTCTCTGACTATGCAAGTCTGTTTTATTATTTTTAAAAGCTGCAGCAAGTTGGCAAATCAAACTCATAACTTAGATGTGCAGAGAAAACATATTTTGTAATTTGGTATTCCAAGCCCCTTCCAACACATTAGCTGAGCAAAAAATTAAACAGATAGGCATCCAGTTGAGCTGGATAATTTAAATAGCCATTAAAAAATTAAAAATTTCGTTTAAGTAAGTTTGGACAGTCCCTCAACCAGCCTCCTCCTTCCCTTCTGATATCCCTAAAATGGCTTTAGAATTAATATGAAGAGGAGGTTTTATGCATGCTAGTGGAGGAAGGAAAAAGGTCAAGTCATTGGGAAAGGGGCCGTCTCTTCCTTTTGCTCTCTGGGGCCAGGTCCTTTGTCTATCTGTCTGCTTCCTAGCTGCAGTTTGTTGAAATCTGCAGCTGTCAGAGCCTGTGAAACAACCTCTCAGCTTGGGAAAGCCTGTATGCAGTTCCTGTGGACTGCAACTTTCTCAAATCTTCTATGACCCCGATACCAGCTCAGTGGTCTCCCCCGGCCTCTGCTGAGGAGTGATCTCACCCTGCCACAGATGCTGCATGGTGAAACTCTTGGCTCAGTGACTACAGGGGACCTCAGTGGCTGTACACTAGCAACCCTTAGAATCTGCTTGGTCTGATTGTGCCTCTCTTTTTTCTGTGGCTTTCAGGTCTTCTTCATCTGTCTTTACTTTTGTTGACCTTACTTATTAAAACATTCCATTCTCCCACCTCACCTTTACACTAGAGGAAAATCACAGTAGTTGAGTCCTTCAGTCTTAGCCCTCGATGTGCTGTAGCAGGAAAAAAGTATTTAGCAATCCCTCCTGCTCCTACCCTGAACACACACCTACCTGATCTCTAGGCATGTTTGCATTACCTAGAAGTTGGAGTCAAGTCCTCTCCTATCCTAATGTAATGAGCCTCTCCTCGGGGAGAGAGACTAAAATGAAACATGATTTATAGAAAAAGTTAAAATATATTAGTGTCTGTGAATTATTATCTTTCTTATAAGTAACGTTGTGTTCCAAGAGTAGCATTTCCTAGGCCATCTTCTTAGGTAATACCCACAGAAAAGGATGACATTTGAAAACCTTTGATTCCTTAACCATTTTAACTCTGACCATTGTACAACAATGTTGAACATGTAATTTTGGCCTGAGAAAAAAGGCAAGAATTTCATCTGGAGAACAGTATAGATGATTCGTTTTGAAAATGGTAATATATTTCCAACCTATTTTAAACAAATAATAGAGATGTCATATTTATACTGCTCTGAAAAACACTTTAGCAATGGGATTCTGTTTTGAAAATTTTGCTCATTCCTGTTTTTATTCCAACATACCACATCGGAGTGTGGTATTAAACTAATTGATAGATGTTCATTTAACTTTTGCCTGTAACACACGTAACGGTGGTGGGTGCTTACAAAATACAGTATTGCAAAGTCTATGTTTCTCTCTTATTGGACCACACAACTTTGAACTAATGAGAACCTCTTTCACATACTCAGATGGGTATCTTGCTTTTCATTTAATAAATTTCAGTTCATTGGCTTCAAAAGAAGGCAGACAGTTTCAACATTGGTGAAGTGACATGGTTTCCCAAGGGGAAGACAGGTACAGAGATAATGTTGTAAGTGATCATTTATTATTTTGTAAATATCTGGAGACCGGGTATTATAGTGAGCACAATTATAAAAGGACTGTGTTAGGAATGATCAAATACAGCCCAGCTTCTGATATAAACTAGAAAGGAAGGGGCTTTGCAGGTGTGACAAAGTTGAGGAGGCCTATGAACTGAATAAGCCATTTAGAATTAAAATATCAAAATGCTTGCTTGTCATACTGTTGGGGAGACAGGAGCATCATCTAAGAAAAGATAGGATTTTAAATAAAATCATTGAATTTGGGAGAGTGTTCACTTTATAATATACATACCTTAAACTCAATCTGATTAGCCAAAATCCAGAAATACTATACCCATTTAAAACTGAGACTACAGTCATGTTACCAGAACTCTGGAGTAATAAGGAACTTAAAACTTTAAAAATAAATACCTCTTTAAGCCAGGTTAATCTAAATCTTCAATTCTGAGTGGATAAGAAGTATAAAAGGAAATGAAAAGTGGGAAATGCTATCAGCTAGCATATTAACTCTTCACTGAAGTTTAACTCTGGCCCACCCTCAGTGCCTATATGCTTGGAAAGGTTAACAAGGAAGATTTCAAGTATTCCCAGCTTTACGAATTTAAGAATACAAAGACTTACTAAATGCTAGATTCCACTTGAAGGAGGACATGTTAAGAGCAGGTCGCTGTAGAATATTATGTACAAAAACAGTTCTGACTTTCAAAAAATAATACCTATCTTAAAAGACAACTGATACTTTACTTAAATTTAAAAATAGAGAAAAAAAAAAACCAAGACATGATAGGCAAGCAGGATGATATTTTACAACAGCACACATCACTTACATAACTATTCTGGGAAAGGATGTCCAAATATTGATGAATAATAGCTCTCTGTTCTTTCTGTCTCTACAACCCTTGAACAACTTATTAATCTAGCTAATCTTATTAGCAGTGGCAAAATGTCTATTCAAAGTCAATAATTAAGTTAAACATTCTCCTTTATGTCCAATGAGCCACTGTAACCAACAAACCAAAATGATGTCTGTATGTCTTTTTCAAAAGACTTTCAAGTCTCCTTATGTATATACTCTGGTGCCTAAAATTCACACACACACACACACACACACACTTATTAATTAAACAAAAAGGAACTTCTTGGGCATTGGTGAAATAGAACTTCAAGACTGTCTTTTTTCCCCTTTTCCCTTTTTAAGTCCCATTTCTACCCTTTCTTTCCCCAGTTCAGGACCTTATGTTGTCTGATTTCCCCACTTCTCCCAATAAAGTTCTTCTCAGAAAAGAATTTCCTTTGATTTATAGTTTACATAACTGAAAAACCTTCGAGTGTCATTTCTCCAGAAGTATGACTTTTTAATACGGACATAGTATCAGACAATCAGGCAGCAGAATCCCTAAAATCACATAGTCCTCTAAGGTAAATGTTTCTCAAAAAGTGATCCACAATCCCAGCATCAGAATCACCTGAGAACTTATAAAAAAAATTGTCGGGCCTCTGTGCCCCACTCATCAATATTTTGATTCATTATGTCTGGGGTAAATCTCAATTCTCTACAATAAAGAGAATTCTCTCAATCTCAATTCTAATACAATAAAGTTTGAGTACTAATGATTTAAGTGTTAAGAGCATGGAGTTTGCCATCAGCAGATGTGGCTCTGCTTTATTTGTTGTGTAATACTGGACAATTTAATCTTTGTGATGCATATTTTGCTCATCTGTAAGTTTCAAGATAATGACATCCCTTCCACAGGGCTGTTGTGATGAGACAATGCATGTCAAATGCCAAATCAGTCAGAGCTTTTTTAGTATGAAAACTCAACTAGCTCACATGTGTGAAAAGTGAGAAGATCTGGCTTCAGGTTGCGCTTGATCCAAAACTCACTAGAATCTTTTGTCAGTCTCCATGTCTCATCTCTGACTTGTGCCATGTTGGCTTCAAACTCAACCTATTCTTTTGTAACAAGATAGATGCAGAAAGTAAAACATGTCATCTTTCCAGGTTCAAATTTCAAAGGAAAGAGAAAATGTTATTTTCTCTATTGGGCTGTCTGAGAAACTTTATCTGTTGGGAGGCACCCCTCTCTGGGTTTCTTGTCCTTCATACCTGTTGCTGAGTACGCCAAGAATGTGAGGCCCTGACTGCTGACTGTTCTTTACCTGGATCATTTCTCAAGGTTCTGTTTGCAGTGAGCAATCTTGGGCAATCAGCTAATGTCTCTTTCAAGGTCAGAAAGAGGCTTGGTTACTGCTTGCTATAAGATGGTGGTTTCTCCAAGATCAGTGTCCCTCAATTGTGACAAAAACCCACTGCTGCACAGGATCCATCTGAGCTCATAGCACATCACTCATATGAGGATAGGAGGCAAAGAGAACTAATGCAAATCATGCTTATGCCTATGCCATTAACAATAAATTTCTCACCTGACCCAGGAATCTTGACTCTTCTGCCAGCCTCTACAAAACAGCAACAGACTAACTTATTAGCTTGCAAGAAAGGTGAGTAAAATTCCAGAACACGACAGCAT